AAAAGACATGAAGTAAAAATACATTTACCATAGCGTAGCAGGCTAGCCGTCATGTAGAGCTGTCAAGTAAAGGTCATTAAAGGGATACTCCACTGTTTTTTCATATTAAACTGATATTCCCTTAACTATATCAACGTGGTCCAAACACCTCCACCAGCACTTTGACTCGGCGTAGTAATATCATCACTCATGAAAAGTCCTCTCCAGAGTGATGATATTATCCCTGGGGGATATATATGCGTCAAGTCGAATTTCTCCCAAGCACTTGCTGTGGTATTCTGCCATACAATATAGTTATGCACTTTACACACTTAGAAAAGCGCAACGTTTTATGTTGTGTCACTGTCCTAGGTCGTGTTACACTACTCGTGTAACTGTATTTAAATAGGGAAAACGTGGAGGTTTCCATTTAAGTATGTGAGTAGGCTTTGGTAAGGATAATGAATAAGCCATGTTATGCCTTTTAGGGCACCAAAGCACTGTGGTCTGTAATGCACTTGGTGGCCTACTTGATGCCGATCATCATTCATCCATCCTCACAAAATGTAACATTTACAGTGATCAGGCACATGTGCAGTCTTAGTGAATTTAAGGTATACAGTAATAATAAATTCACTGGTTATTTCATGAGCCAACATTATAATGCATTGCATACAGTTGACATGATATGGTCATGAATTGCTTAAGTTAGCCTACCTGCTCCAAACCAGAGAGAATGATCGCCTGCTGCCTCTCATAAGAGACAGCATAAAACTCTGTGAAGAGCTGCAGTTTTCTTTGTTCTGTTAGGCTGGAACACTGCCTGGGACATGTCTCCTTGCACACCTTGCCCTTAACAGACACAAAATCATATTAGTGTTTTTTAGCTTTAGAACAGTAGCGCTCTTAGCAGCTGTTAAGGTTTACTAACTAGAACAGCTTACATGTGTAATGTGTAAATGCATTATTATTTTATTATTAGTGGTGCTTGCTGAAAGCAAGGCAACACTATTACTATTGTGTTTTTTGAGTCGGCCCAAAAGTTTGGCACGCTACTCCTCCCGCAGTTTTTGTCACACACCCATGAATGAGGTCTCAAAACGTGCGGAATATTCGGGAATGGTGTGCTATGACTTTTCTAAGCGATCGGGGTACGATGTTCGCCCAAAGGGCGAACAAATTTCCCAAAAATCCCATAGACTTAACATTGCGACAACTTTGACGACTCATAGCTCCGAGCGAGGATTTCACAGAAGCCTGTGATTTACCACATTTGAAGAGGCTGACAGGCTCTGTAAGAACATACCTCACAATGGGGTAAAAGTTGCACCCCTGGGGGCAGGAGCTACCCAAAATTTTCCCCATTGACTTACTATGGTGAAGATGTCCCATCAAATGCATGTGTTTTTCCTACTATGGTAAATTGCATAGGGATTTTGTATTGAACATAGCTCTGGATCATAGTGTCATAGAGACAAGGGGGCGGGCTCATTTTACTCAGACGACCAATCCGTCTCTCAGGATCATTGTGAAGCTATCAAGCCACGCCCTAGCAACCATATAGAGCACCTTAGCAACAACTCCCATAGACTTCCATTGAAAGAGATCAAAGGGATATCTCCGGATAGAAGTGTCATAGAAACACAAGGGTGGTCTCGTTTGACTCGGGGTAGCAAACAGCCAATCATGAATCACCTCAACAATTTCTGGACACACCCTAGCAACCATTATCGAGCACCTTAGCAACCAAATTTTAAAGAGGGATATCTTCCATTCTGAATGTCATACAGGCTTGGGAGTTGTATTATATCAATTATACTGACAAGCAGCCTTTGGAGATTCATGATTGGCAGCTGCCAAGCCACTCCCTAGCAACCAAAAAGAGTACCCTAGCAACCATTTTGCAAGGCCTACATCTCTGCATCAGAACATCGTATAGAGATGGGGGTTGGTTTATACATTCACATTGACTTTGGAGCTTCATGATTGGAAGCTGCCAAGCCACTCCTAGCAACCAAACAGAGTACCCTAGCAACCATTTTGTAAAGCTATATCTCAGCATCAGAACATTGTATCACGATGGGGGTTGGGTCTTTTGACTCATGCTAGCACATAGAACTTTCAAAATGCTAAACATGCTAGCTGTGAATAGCTACATGCTAATATTGATTAGCTAAGTGCTAAATCATGCCATGAACAATATAAAAACTCTATAATAACCATATGTGAACACTACCAACCACCTAGTAATACCATAGCAACTACCCAGAATACCTAGCAACAACCTAACAACACCATAGCAACCACCCAGAACACCCTAGCAACCGCATAGCAACACCCTAGCAACCACCTAGAAACTATCCAGAACACCTTAGCAACACCCTAGCAACCACCTAGCAACACCCTAGCAACCACCCCAAACACCATAGCAACCACCTAGCAACACCTTAGCAACCACCCAGAACACCCTAGCAACCACCTAGCAACACCATAGCAACCACCGAGCAACACCCTAGCAACCGCCTAGCAACCATCCAGAACACCTTAGCAACACCCTAGAAACCACCAGAACACCCTAGCAACCACCTTGCAATACCCTAGCAACCACCTAGCAACACCCTAGCAACCACCCAGAACACCCTAGCAACCGCCTAGCAACACCGTAGCAACCACCTAGCAACACCTTAGCAACCACCGAGCAACACCCTAGCAACTGCCTAGCAACCTTCCAGAACACCTTAGAAACACCCTAGCAACCACCTAGCAACCATCCAGAACACCCTAACAACCGCCTAGCAACAACCTAGCAACAACCTAGCAACACCCTAGCAACCACCCAGAACACCCTAGCAACCACCTAGCAACACCTTAGCAACTACCCAGAACACATTGGCAACCACCCATAATACCCTAGCAACTGCATAGCAACCACCCAGAATACCCTGACAACCAACTAGCAACCACCCAGAACACCCTAGCAACCGGGTGGTGAGTTTTGCCACTGCAAGCACCACTTCACATTTTCGTCTGGAAATGTACATTCTAGTTATTATTATTATTCTTTACTATTAAATAACAAGTAACAAACAACGCATAGCATACAATATTACAAAACAGAGTGTTAAATTAATGGTAACAGGGGATTCAAAAATGATATCAAAATATTTTAAACATGTCAGTTACTATTTATTTTTTTTTTTTTACCGATTTCAGTGAAAACATAAAACAATCAAATTCTAATTTTCAAATTTTTAGCTTTCATTTCGATTTCATTTCATTTTAAGTCAACCATTCATGACTTGATTCGCTAAACAGTCTGAGATGAATGAACATTAGTAACGTTAGACGCCCAGTTACACCTTGCTGTGACCAGCTAAAGTTACGTTACAAAGTAACTGGCTAGCCAGCTAACAATATCTGGCTATCTAACATTAGGGACATCAAACGCAGCCAAAACGTTACAATTAATTTATCCCTGGTTATAAGGAGTAGCCTACAGCATTCATTTCGACCCATTCATGACTTGATCAGTTAAACAGAGTGAGCTATATGAACTGTAGATGACGCCCATAGCCTACACGCCCCTCTGTCACCGCTAAAGTTAGGTAGATACTTTGTATACGGTTCTTTCACTCACCTCTTTCGGTGGATCTTTTCCTCGTTTTTGCTCTCCTCTCCGGTTCACGTATGGTTTCCCAGCGTCCCTCAAAGACTTCCTCGCTCTGTCCTTCCATTCATTCATGTTCGTTCTCCTTTTTTTGCCGAGGTTTTGCCTTTTAATGTCCGCAGCGGACATGAAAACAACCGGCGTCTCCATTTTTCGTTAGTGGACATAAACGGTTCTTCTGCGTGAGACTATTTTAAAATTTAAAATACAGAGTTTTTGTCGCGCGAACACCCCCCAAAGTGATTCTGTAGACAAAGTGACGCACACACATTCAAATCACATGGTTATCTCAATTTTTGTTTTTTTGGACTTATACGGTTGTTCGTCGCATGAACACATTTAGTCTCGTTTTTATTCGTCAACGATATTGCATTATACATTTAGTTATAGTCATCGTCACACGACCAGCATTTACGTTGCGTCTCGTCTCGTTTTCGTCACGTGATAAAGGTTCGTTGACGATGATATTTAGTCATAATTTTCGTTGACGAAAGCAACACTAACTGCCACTCCACCCGGAGTGTGGCATCATCTTGGGCTTTAGCGCATGGCTCCTCGCTAACAGACATCTGCAGAGATGCCGGCTGGGTGACACCCAAGGCTTTCGCCAGATTCTACAATTTCTGAGTGGAGCTTGTGTTGTCTAATGTACTCGCTTCAACCTGCTAGTAATGGACCCGCTCAGGTGTCTTCGCTTGCTTGCCATTCCACCCCACGAACTGGATATGTGCGAAATTTTCCTCAGGTAAGCTTCCTCCTCAAGCCCTGAGTTCCTCCAGCACTGCTCCCCAGTGTAACATGGTATTCCCGTGCTAAATAGGAGTCCATCGTCCATACTGGTCTCACGACAGGGATCTCAGATTTACACAGGGCACTGGAAGACAGCTGTGAAGGTGGCGTGATTAGACTGGTAACCCCATTCATCGTCATCCGACGAAACTCATAGTGACAAAGAAAGGGAACGTCTCGGTTATGGATGTAACCCTCGTTCCCTGAGTGGGGAACAGAGACATTACGTCTTCCTGCCACTTCCGCTATGCCACTGGAACAACCGAGTTCAGTCTTGGCTCCTCAGTGAAGAAACATATCTGCATATTGCCGGCGTTCTGCTTTTATACCCATGCGATGGGGAGGAGTTACGCCTTGCAAATTTCCCATTCGTTGTCATCCGACGTAACGTCTCCATTCCCTACTCAGGGAACGAGGGTTACATCCGTAACCGAGACGTTTTTCATTTTGCTCTCTGTAAGCTATCCCCAGCCAATCTGTGTTGCTGTTGTGGCAATCTTTTCATGCACTTCTCATCAAAACTTCTCATGCAGTTAATCTAGTCACTGCTCACCATCAAGGTGTTTTGTATCCCATCATTTTAAATTATACTAATTTCAAATTGTACACATTTAGGCGGGGAAATGCATTTTTGGGCTGGTACATTTTTTTTTATTTATATATATGAAGAGTTCAAATGCAAAAGCCTCTAAATGCCATTTGAAATTTTCTTCTAGAATGACCATTTTTTATCAAGCTTGTATGTTTAAGTTCAGTGATTTCACTTAAATGGCAATGATAATTACCTATTAATTGTTATTTAAGTGAAATTACTGAACTGAAATATACAAGTTTGATAAAAATCATCATTAAAGAAGAAAATTTCAAATGGCATTTAAAGGCTTTTGCATCTGAACTCTTCATATATATATATATATATATATATAATTTTCCATTGACAGTATTTGCAAAGTGTTCCAGAACATTATGTCTATGTCATTTTAAAATAACTGTTGATGAAAGCTCAGCTAAATTAACTAAAACCTTATCTGATGCTCTTTTTTTATTTGGAGCCGGAGGATTCTTAATTACAGGAAACCCACAGTAAAAGTTAGTGTCTGATCATTGTCACAATTCTCATCTTTCCATTGAGAGAGATTACTATGCTCTTATGCTGAATTGTTTACGGGGAGTTGCAGTCTTGCTTGTCTTGAAAAGAATTCAAGCAAAACTTTTTTTTTTTATGTCACTGTGCTGTTGTTCTAGGAAGAAAATAACATCTGTCTACCCCCTGTGCTTTCTGCAATTATCGCTCTGAGGCCAGCCAATGTCATTCTTCACTCCCAATAAGAATCTGACAGGGGCTCTGAAAGATGAACAAAATTGCATGTCACATAAGCTCTATTTTCCATGACATTTTATTAATGAGAAAAATACACAGGTAAAGTAAAAGTTTAGTCTACTCAGGTCAACCTTCTCCCTTTTCTCACAACCCTTTGTGGGAATTGACTGATTTGAGCTGTTTTCTCTTTGTGCAAGAAAAAATTCTGAGCCATTTTTATTCATTCAATATTACTGGCATACCTTCCACTCTTGAGTGATTTTCACAGCACATCAAGGTCACAGCTAAAGACAAAGGAGACTAGATTTGATTCAAATAATGTTATTTGTTACTCTATAAGACATATAGCATTTTGGTGAATGATATTTTCAATCATTTTTCGATATGTTTATGTTCAACAAAAATAAACATGCTAGGAAGAGTAGCACTTCAGCACTGAGCTGCATTCACATGCATTACAGCTTGTAGAAATGTGTACACTTGTGCATATTGTATGAATAAATAACTTCTAATGACACTGTGTTGCTGCACAATGATCTGATCTATTCCAATGGACGAAATCAAAAAAAAGAAAAAAAAAAAAAAGAAAAAAAAAAGATGATCATTATTGTTTCATGGCAACTTTAAAACACAATCAGTTGGACAATAAATAGTTACACGTGATTGTGTTTCAGACCTCTCATTTTTTATTTGTGCATTTTATGTTTGGTTTATTATTACTTTATTATTATAAGTTACCTAGTTATTTTTGTAATAATAATATAAAAATTATATTTAAAAATTACAAATTCAAATTATAACACATTGTAGATTTTAGTGCAGACTAATTAATGAATGATGATTTTAAGCTCAGATACTTGCATATGCTCAGTTAGTGAATGAGAATGTTTTTAAAGGTGATAATGTGATAATACTCAGACTAAAAAAGGCAACAATAAAATCATTTTGAAAGAGAAGTTTTGAGAAGATTAGGGATACTTAATTTTTCGCCCCCCCAAAAAAAACGTAAGGGGTAACACTGTCGTTTTTTTACGGGTCGAAATTTTGATTTTCGATATCTAAGCTCTGGAAGGGTCTAGAGCCTCCATTGTTGCACTCAGGTCTATGTCTCATGGCCTTCTATCAGAATCCAGAGTTTTGAGAAGATTGGGGATACTTAATTTTTCGCCCAAAAAAAAAAACACGTAAGGGGTAACACTGTCGTTTTTTTTTCTGGTCGAAATTTTTAATTTCGATATCTCAGCTCTGGGAGGGTCTAGAGCCTCCATTTTTGCACTCAGGTCTAAGGCTCATGGCCCTCTATCAGAATCCAGAGTTTTGAGAAGTTTGGGGATACTTAATTTTTCGCCCAAAAAAAAAAAACGTAAGGGGTAACACTGTCGTTTTTTTTTTTGGTCGAAATTTTGAATTTCGATATCTCAGCTCTGGAAGGGTCTAGAGCCTCCATTGTTGCACTCAGGTCTATGTCTCATGGCCGTCTATCAGAATCCAGAGTTTTGAGAAGATTGGGGATACTTAATTTTTCACCCAAAAAAAAAAAAAAACGTAAGGGGTAACACTGTCGTTTTTTTTTCTGGTCGAAATTTAGATTTTCGATATCTCAGCTCTGGAAGGGTCTAGAGCCTCCATTGTTGCACTCAGGTCTATGTCTCATGGCCCTCTAAGAGAATCTAGAGTTTTGAGAAGATTAGGGATACTTAATTTTTCGCCCAAAAAAAAAAAACGTAAGGGGTAACACTGTCATTTTTTTTTTCTGGTCGAAATTTTGAGTTTCGATATCTCAGCTCTGGAAGGGTCTAGAGCCTCCATTGTTGCACTCAGGTCTATGTCTCATGGCCCTCTATCAGAATCCAGAGTTTTGAGAAGATTGGGGATACTTAATTTTTCGCCCAAAAAAAAAAACGTAAGGGGTAACACTGTCGTTTTTTTTACGGGTCGAAATTTTGATTTTCGATATCTCAGCTCTGGAAGGGTCTAGAGCCTCCATTGTTGCACTCAGGTCTAAGTCTCATGGCCCTCTATCAGAATCCAGAGGTTTGAGAAGATTGGGGATACTTATTTTTTCGCCCCCCCAAAAAAAACGTAAGGGGTAACACTGTCGTTTTTTTTTCTGGTTGAAATTTTGATTTTCGATATCTCAGCTCTGGAAGGGTCTAGAGCCTCCATTGTTGCACTCAGGTCTAAGTCTCATGGCCCTCTATCAGAATCCAGAGTTTTGAGAAGATTGGGGATACTTAATTTTTCGCCCCAAAAAAAAAACCCGTAAGGGGTAACACTGTCGTGTTTTTTTTCTGGTCGAAATTTTGAATTTCGATATCTCAGCTCTGGAAAGGTCTAGAGCCTCCATTGTTGCACTCAGGTCTAAGTCTCATGGCCCTCTATCAGAATCCAGAGTTTTGAGAAGAGATTGGGATACTTAATTTTTCGCCCCCCAAAAAAAACGTAAGGGGTAACACTGTCGTTTTTTTTTCGGGTCGAAATTTTGATTTTCGATATCTCAGCTCTGGAAGGGTCTAGAGCCTCCATTGTTGCACTCAGGTCTAAGTCTCATGGCCCTCTATCAGAATCCAGAGTTTTGAGAAGATTGGGGATACTTAATTTTTCGCCCAAAAAAAAAAACGTAAGGGGTAACACTGTCGTTTTTTTTTTCTGGTCTAAATTTTGAATTTCGATATCTCAGCTCTGGAAGGGTCTAGAGCCTCCATTGTTGCACTCAGGTCTATGTCTCATGGCCCTCTATCAGAATCCAGAGTTTTGAGAAGATTGGGGATACTTAATTTTTCGCCCCCAAAAAAAAAACGTAAGGGGTAACACTGTCGTTTTTTTTTCGGTCGAAATTTTGATTTTCGATATCTCAGCTCTGGAAGGGTCTAGAGCCTCCATTGTTGCACTCAGGTCTAAGTCTCATGGCCCTCTATCAGAATCCAGAGTTTTGAGAAGATTGAGGATACTTAATTTTTCGCCC